TGCTGCTGCGCCGATTTCGACGCCCGCGACGCTCCGTTATTATCTTTTGTACCCTTTTGTTTTTTTGGCACAAGTTCGCCACATTAAACTTTTGGATAAGAAAGCTCGAATCCAAATGTGTGAGCCAGCCATCATTAACACTACAAGACAGCGAGTATGAGTTTATGGGGGCAGCTGCGCACAAATAGGTGTATGGTCAAGGCTTCGGAGTGCCGGCACTGGACATGCCTAGGACTTTGAGAGATTGCTTTTCATTTTATTTTGTTTTTCTTTTCAGCTATAATTATTTTAGGTGTAATTTTATTTAATTTATTAGCTTTTTCACATCTTTCTCTTTTCCGATATATGTTCATGTGTGTAGTTTTCTTCCTTCTCCTCTTCATAGTAAATCGTCAGTTGCGAGTCAGCGCTTGCCTGTTCTGTCTTCCTTTTCTGTCCCTCTCCTTGTGCGCTGTTTAATTATGTATTTCTTTCTGTTTATTTATTGTTTATTGGCCACCACCCGTGACAATATGACAAGTAATGAGATCGACGCAGAGTGCAACGGTTATGAGCATTCTGTGGATGATGCAGGAAAGTTTCTTCGGGCAGTTTTAATAAGGCTTTGCTCCTTTGCCCACTGCAGTGATTATGGCGGTATAGTCTCCATTAGCCATGCTCTTCTCTTTCGGCGCTGAAGAAATGCACGCGACGGCATCATTCTCGGGCAGTCTTTTTTATTTATTTTTATTTGCAGAATAGCTCGTGCAAAAAAAAGAAAACAAACGGCTTTTACGTTTTTACACGTCCCTACATAGGTACCTCGCTTTCCCATTGGCTTCATTCCGCGTGACGATTCAACGCCATTTGCCATGGAAACAAGCAAGTATAACTACGTAGATGCCCTGAAGGCCACATACAAAAAAATTACAAACCCGCATACAGAACCTTCCCCCACTAAGCCCGAAAGAAGGCCTCAAAGCCAAGAGCGAAATGAAACTTCAAAGCCAGACGATTCAGCCGCACTTGATTGGAAAATGATATTTAGAACAGTAATCAAGGCTATCACAAACTTCCTTAGTCAGTTCACTTCACCAGTAATGCAAGGCATCGTACAAATACTTAACTTGGTATTTCCCACACTCTTCGATATCTTTTAATCAGCAACTGTTTCTGTTTTACAATAGAATGCACGAGGCCTTCAGTCAAAAGGATCGGACATTCGACAATACCTTAAAACTAATTCTTGTCCCGTATTAGCGATATCGGAACATGGCGTTCGTGACCGCTTCAGGATATCAGGATACCAAATATTTTACTCAAAAAAGCACACCGGCAACAGCAGAACTTTACTAGCCATCAGAAATGATTTAACTTACGTAGAAGAGGATATTTGCCCACATGACGAAAACGAATATGTATCTGTAACTGTCAGAAATGGAACGAGCTCAATAACTTTCATCTCTGCCTACATACCTCCCAACGTAACATTTGATGTTAAAAGGTTAGAAAATATCCTTCTAGCAGTACCAAAGCCATGCTGCTTGTTAGGGGATTTTAATGCTCATCATGAACTCTGGGGTAGCCTACAAAACACTCGTAGGGGACGTGAACTTCTTGAGGTTGCCATTAAGTTCGATCTCGTCAACATCAATGATGGAAGACCCACGTTTTTCAAGGGAACAAGAGTAAGCAGTTGTTTGGATTTGACCTTTGTGTCGAAAGGCTTTATACCAAAATGCACCTGGCAGCCAGCCCTCGACACATGGGGAAGCGATCATTTACCGATTATAATATCTATAAGTGGTTTCGGAGCATGTAAATCGCAGAGGAAAATAAGAAAAACGAACTGGGAAGCATTTCAGTTTGTTACGAAAAATGCCATAACAGCTGCAACGGAGGATGAAGCTATCGGTCCAACTATTGCTTCTGCTTTAAACAAATCTACCAGATTATTTAGTATGCCCGCTGGAAAAACAGAACTCGATGCGGAATATGAAGGGTTAAGAGCAATACGGTGAAGAGCGGAACGACGGCTAAGACGAACTCACAGTACCAACGACCTCCGTGAGGCACGTAAAGCACAGCGTCACGTAAGACGTCATATGAACGTGTTGGCTAAACGCAGATGGATGAGCTACTGTGAATGATTAGACCCTCGAAGTCCCATATCACAAGTATATCGAGTTGTACGGGGACTGAGAAAAACACCAGAGCAATTACATCCTTTTCGAGCATTGTCTCTAAAAAAGAAATGCTCAGAGTTAGAAGTAGCTGAAGAGTTTTGTAAGATAGTAGCAGAAAAGCAACAATGCCTTCACCGTAATGCCCAAAACACGCAGAATGTCACCTTAGTTGTGCCAGAAGACTCGAGATTGGATACACCCTTAACACTCTCAGAGCTGAAAATAGCGTTAGCATCAGCGAATAAGAAGTCATCACCAGGAACCGATGGTGTAACGTATATGGCACTAGCCCATCTTAATACAAATTCCTTAATGAGACTTTTAGAGCTTCTGAATAGATCATGGGAGACAGGAAACGTTCCAAAAGCGTGGAAAGAAGCTGAAATTGTACCTTTGCTAAAACCAGGGAAACCTCCAACTGCTTATAGTTCTTTCCGTCCAATTGCATTGACAAGTTGTATTGGAAAAACGTTAGAAAAAAATTATACAAGGAAGACTAAATTTGTATCTTGAAACGTACGATATACTTCCAGAGGCAATGAGTGGATTTCGTTCAGGAAGATCTACAAGTGATAGCATACTTAATCTAGTTAGTTCTATAGAAGAGAACCACGCAGGAAACAAAATCACTGTTGTAGTCTTCCTTGACATCAAACAAGCTTTTGACAATATTGAACACGATGCTATTCTTACCGCTTTAAAAAAGATTGGAATCTTAGGCAAAATGCTCCGCTGGATACAAAACTACCTTAGTGATAGGTCAATTTTTATGAAAACAAATAATAACTGCACAAGAAAATACACGATATCAAGAGGCGTTCCGCAAGGTGGGGTACTTAGTCCGACCCTTTTCAACCTTGCATTAATATCGGTAGCAGATGTCATTCCTGCAAATGTTATGGCCACATTTTATGCTGACGATATCTGCCTGTGGTCCAGTAGTGTTCACCGAAACGTACCACCACGTAGGCTTCAGAAAGCTTTGCGCCTGATTAGCCCACAATTATCAAAACTGGGACTCACTTTGTCGTCAGAAAAAACAACGGCAATGGCATTCACTAAAAAATCAATTCGACGATACCCTATTTTATTAGCTGGACATCCTCTGCCATATGTAAAATCTTACAAATATCTTGGGGTTATCGTTGATCGAAATCTCACATGGGCGCCCGAGGCAAACCGAATAAGAAAAAAGATTGACGCAGTCATCCCAGTATTATGGTGCCTAGCTGGCACTGCTTGGGGATGCTCGTGCTCCGCAATGCTTGCCCTAGAACGCTCTCTTGTAGACGGAATTCTCAGATATAGTGCACCGATTCTTCATGGTGCTAGCAAAACTACCATAAAAAATCTGCAAACAGCGCAGACGAATGCACTTAAAGTCTGCTTCGGTCTTCCTAAGGGCACGTCTGCTTGTGATACGCTGGCTGAAACGAGAACAGTATCTGTCAACACTATGAAAACGCAAGAATCTTTACGAGTACACCTACGCCACATTACTCAGCATAAGAGACACTATATGCGAAACATTGTCAGAAAAAGGCCGCATTCCACATTTGGGCAAGAAATACAAAAGTGGCATAAAGAAATTTCTTCGGTTACAAAGCACAGTGGAGAAACTCCGCCACCGTATTGGATTATGCCCTCTATGAAAATTAATACCGAGATACCTGGAATGGGGGCAATCAAAGACACAGCGATACCCGTTCGATTTCAACAAACTATGCTTCACGTATCTACTGTATACAAAGACCATGTATTTGTATATACTGATGGATCCACAACCAAAACATCATCTTCCTCTGCCTTCGTAATTCCCCAGAACAATGTACTTGAGACCGCACGGCTCTCCCACCGAACAGCATCTACAACAGCAGAACTACATGGTATTCTGTTGGCGATTACTTATATTTTAAAATCAACAAATATACGAAAATGGGTCATCCTAACCGACTCCATTGCGGCTCTTAAAAGCCTAATGACATTTGGGAAATCATGCAGCAATAATACTTTTCAATTACAGGTGGGACATGTATACGCTAAAGCCGCTGACATAGGACATCACATAATACTGCAGTGGATTCCAGGTCACAGCAGCATCAGCGGAAATGAACAAGCTGACAGGGCTGCTAAAAATGGATACAAACTCAGAAAGCTTCAAAAAGTTCCATTCACCAAATACGACATAAAATTCGCCATAAAGAAAGTAATTAACACTATGATTATGCAGTCGTGGTTTTCATCAGTTCATCAAACTAGCAAATTACATTTAGTGGATCCAGAATTGACAACGCAACTACCAGATACCCTACCTAGAAAACTCGAAACTTTGTACCACAGGCTACGACTCGGAGTGGCTTACACTGGCAGCTATAATTTTCTTCTTGGCCGAAGTGACACTCCAACGTGCACCTCATGCAACTGCAAAGACGATGTAGAGCATATATTGACCGCATGCGCTAAGTACCAAACACAACGCGAATGCATGAAAAGAATACTTCACCAGCTGGACCCCAGACCACTCAATGGGAAAAAAATCCTTGGCCCATGGAAGAACAAGCGGCATCAACGCATCCTCTTAAAAGCTCTGCAAAAGTATGTCGAAGACACCGGACTGATCGATCAACTTTGAGTGTGTGCGTGTGTGTGTTGTGTTTATGTGCGCGTGACTTACTCTTGTTCTAATCGTCTTTATTCCCCTCTACCCTTCCCCACGGAGTAGCCAGCCAGAGAAAGCACGAACTCCGGCTTACCGGCAATGCCGAAGAACAGCCGGCTTCTCAACTCGGTGCCCTCGCCGGGGCTGCGGATGCGACTCCTGCAGCTCGCGGGACGATGGAAAGCATGAAGCCCCAAGATACTCATGCACTAGACCACTCAGCCTCGAGGGGCGTCCTCGAGCCCGTGGAGACTGATCTCGAGACATCGAACAGCTTCGCGGAGCTCTCCGAGGACGCCCGGGACCCCGAGCCTGACCTGACAAGGCTCTGCAACAAAGGGGCTTCACCCGCGACTATCGCGGTACCCCTACATTGTGCGAAAACACACTCGGAACTTGGATGGGCGTACGTGTGTGGAACGAAGAAGAAGCTCAACAAGAAGCGGATCGGCGCTTCTCAGATTGACACGCGGCCGCCTGTTAGACGTCGAACGACGCCCATACCAGCCAACGAAATCAAGATCACCCTCAGACCCAACCAAGGACTAGCGCTCGGACAGGTAGGAAGCATCGAGCTCGGAATAGCGATTATTACCGAGGTTGGAAAACCACATATCTGCGGAAAGAACGACTTCACTGCTTACATCAGATACGGCTCCAACATCGTCGTGATCAGCACGGCGAGAACGGACACCGCCGAGGAAATCAAGAAGATCACAAGACTCCGCTTACGTGGGAGGGTTCACGAGTTCAACACCCACGTCGTCATGGACGGTACCATAAAGGGAGTCATCCACGGAATATCGGCAGGCACCAAAGAAGAGGAGCTTATGGAGTTTCTCGACACCAGGAACGACAGCAACAGGATCGTTCAGGCGAGAATGATGGGAAGATCAAAGACAGCTCTGCTGACTTTCATTGGAGACAGACTACCCAAGGTAGTCTACGGCATGGGCACGATTATCTCGGTAAATCCGTACGTCCCCACGAGACAAGTGTGTTACAGCTGCATGAAACCGGGGCACAGGATCGACGTCTGTCCATTTCCAGACGTAAAAGCTTGTCAGAGGTGCGGCAAGAGGCAGCCTGAAGAAAACCACATGTGCGTCCCCAGATGCGTACTATGCGGGGGAGAACACGTCACCGGGGACAAAGAATGCAAGCAAAAGTACAAGGCGAGGTTCCAAGCAGGTAGCCACCAGCAAGGAATGAGTCAACGAAAGGAGGGAGAAGAGAGAAAGGAAAGGAAGTGGCAGCCGCCACCCGAGACACGACGCAATGAAGTCATCCGAAAGAAGTATACAGAAGAGGACTATCCGCAGCTACCAGCCAGCCCGTGGGCAGCAGCGGCAACGATGACGACGGCAACCATGGGAAAAGGCCCAACTGAAGAAACAAGGAGGCTACGGGTCCATCTTGGAAGGAAAGAAGCTGAGGTGGAGAAGATGAAGGATGAAATGGCCACCATGAGAAACGAAATCCAGCAACTCAGGAACGCGCTCAAGACGCAAACGGAAAGAAAAAACAGTGATAAACCGGCATACCGAGCAAAACCGAAACCAAGAGGCGAAACACCGGTACCCAAGACTCCGAGTAACGAGGCGCAAGAGATGAAACAAGAAATGATAAAAGAACTGAAACAGGAGATACAAAAATGGATGACCGACATGTTCAAGAACCTTCAAATTGGAAGGGGGGCAGAAGAAAACCCACCCAACAAGAGGAGAAAAAACCCCTACAGCAAGGACGAATCAAACTATGAGAGCGACTCGAGCTTGGTTGTAGACATGGGAAAGACGCAACATGATTACGACTAAGCGCAAGGGAAAGGTCAGAATACCACAGGCACCTACAATCATCTGGCAATGGAACTGTAGGGGACACAAACAGAAGCAAAGCAACTTCAACTTTCATATACAAAACCAAATCATCAGACCAAATATTATTGCACTTCAAGAGGTCAGCGGAGTACCTAAGATCTCGGGGTACACCACCTTGGTCAGCCTAAAACATAAGCCAAGAACGGCGACTCTGATAAGCAAGAACCTCACAGCCATAGAGCACAAGCTCAAGGAGCAAGGGGTGGAACATGTTCTACTCGAAATCATACCCAAAAAAAAGAAAGACAAGAGTCTATTCGTGTTAAACGTATACAGCCCGCCGAGATACGTCGTCCAGGACTTCAGGTCCCTGTTCCGAGAAGCGAGCAAGATCGTTGGAGGCAACGCACTCGTATTGGTCGGCGACTTTAACGCGAGACACACGAGCTGGGGGTACCAAGAGGACTCGAAGAAAGGAAAGCAACTGGCAGCAGCGATCGACAACGAAAGACTGGAGATCATCAACGACCTGCTCAGACCCACACGCACTGGGAACAGCATCAACAGAGACACTAACCCAGACCTCACTATGATAAAAAATCTGGACCAGCACAAGGTTACCTGGAAGAATACCGAGGAAACGATCGGCAGCGACCACGCAATCATAGAGATAAGTGTGGAAGCGAGCACTAACAGACGCAAGATTGGCGCCTCCAAAATGACCAACTGGAACAAGTTCAGACACCTCGGACCGGAAGGAGGTATTGAGGACCTGGAGACGTGGGTGGCGGAGCTACAAGCCACCAAAGCGCACTGCACCAAGGAGATTAGCCTAACCGAGGCCATACCGGGGGTGGATACGCACCTTCTTGGGCTGTGGGAAAAGAGAAAGGGAATAGTCAAAAGGTGGAAGAAACAAAAGCACAACAGAAAGCTCAGGCTCCGCATCTCGGTGCTAAACAAACAGACCGAAGAATACGCCACGCAATTAGCCCAGCAGAACTGGGACCAGAAATGCGACTCCCTCCAGGGAACTTTGGGACTTGCTCAGACGTGGAGACTACTACACCACCTGGTATCCCCAGCGCAAACCAAGTCAGAAGGATGCAAAACGACCCTAAAGATCGTCCACTCCTACAAGGGAACTGACGAGGATCTACTGAAACAGATCAAAAAGAAATATATTGGTGAGCCTGTACCACCACAAGACGAGGCGAGATGTATACGGTACACGGGAAGAGCCAACGAGAAGCTGGATCGGGAGTTCGAGGAGGCCGAAATGATCGCAGCTGTACAAGACGCAAAGAATACTACCCCGGGAAGAGACAAAGTCACCAATGCCATGCTCAAGAACCTGGGCTGCGAGCAGCAAACGAACTTAACCAACTTCTACAACAAAAACTGGAACCAGGGAACCCTACCCGGAGAATGGAAGCACTCTGAGATAAAACTCATTCCGAAACCCGGAAAGATCCCGGGTATAGAGAACATGAGACCCATCTCTCTCACGTCGAACATGGGCAAGCTCATGGAGAGGATGGTGCAGGGAAGGCTCGAGAGACACCTCGAAGAAGAGAACCTGATGCCCGACACGATGTTCGGATTCAGGGCCCGCCTAAGCACCCAGGACGTGCTTCTACAATTAAAGGAAGAAGTACTTGGGGACAACAACATCCCCAAGTACGGCGAAAACATCGTGATGGCCTTGGACCTAAAAGCCGCTTTCGATAATGTTTCGCACAAGGCAGTATTAGAGAGCCTCAACAAGATCAGCTGCGGGGAGAGAACCTTCGAATATGTCAAGACGTTTCTCACGGACAGGACGGCAACCATAACCATCGGCAACGTAAAATCGAAAGAAACTAGCGTCCCCAACAGAGGCACCCCGCAAGGTGCGGTCCTATCGCCGCTGCTGTTCAACCTGGCACTCAGGGACCTGCCGGTGGAGCTAGAAAAGATTGAAGGGATAAGACACGCAATTTATGCTGACGATATCACGATCTGGACCACTGAAGGATCCCTCGGCGAGAAGGAAGAGAGACTCCAGAGAGCCGCAGACACGGTCCATGTGTACGTGAAGAGCCGCGGACTGAGGTGCTCTCCAGAGAAATCCGAAATTATAAGGATTCACAGGAATGGATACGACCGAGGAGTACCCATTAATGTATCTCTGGACGGACAAGACATACCCGAGGTCAAGCAGATGAGAATCCTGGGCATGTGGATCCAGCATAACGGGAAAGCCACGCGCACCATACAATTACTACAGAAAACTACTGAACAGGTGACCAAGATGATCACTAGGATCACGAACCGGAGAAGAGGGCTCAAGGAAAAGGACGTCATGAAGCTTATACAAGCACTGGTTATTAGCAGAGTAGTGTACAGTCTACCGTATCACTACCTCGACATGAAAGAACAAGAGCAGGTCGAAGTCCTCATCAGAAAAATATACAAGATAGCGCTCGGGCTTCCGCAGAACGCCCCTACTGCAAAACTAGAACAAATGGGGGTGCACAACACCTTCCAGGAACACAAGGAAGCCCTACTGATGGCACAACGAAGCAGACTAAAGAAGAGCGGGACTGGCAGACAGCTTATACAAAAGCTCGGGTACGGCGACTGTACAGAAGTTATCCAAAATTCCAGGGAACTGAGCGCCGGAGTCAAGGGAACCTACATAGTTAGGCCCATACCGAAGCACATGAACCCCATCATGCACCGGGGAAGAAGAAGAGCAAGAGCGCAATACTATGAGCGTGAAGGCAAAGACAACGAGACATTCGTATACGTGGACGCAGGGGACTACCGCCGGGATGCCAAGGTAGCTGTGGCATTGGACCACGCATACGACGAGATATCCAGCTGCTCCATCAAGAACGCCAGCATGGAGGGGGCGGAAGAACACGCCATCGCCCTCGCCATGATCCACGGCTACAGGACAAAGAAATGCTACACGATCCTAACCGACTCACAAAATGCCTGCAGGAACTACCTGTGGGGTTTTATCAATAAGACATCAGCAGCAGCCCTAGAACGCGCCTGGAAGGAAGGCGTGATCCACAAAATCATTTGGATCCCAGGGCATGAGGGATTGACCGGTAACCTGATCGCAGACGCCGTCGCTCGAGCATACACCAACCGAGCGGCGGAAGAAGCGAGCGGGCCAACGGAACCAGTACCTCAAACCTACAGCAGCGTACTCAACTACTACAAAGCGGGGAGAATGAGTCTCCCACCCCCGCACCCCAAGCTCAGCAGAAACAAGGCCGTCAGGTGGCGACAGCTGCAGGCGGGAACCTTCCCCAGCTTGCTACGCTTCCACCACATAAGCCCGGAAACATACTCGGACAGGTGTCCCTGGTGCCAAGCCAGGGCGACCCTCTACCACTCCACGTGGGAATGCACCTGAAACCCCACACTTCCTACGGTACAAGACAACAGTCGGCAGCAGTGGGAGGCCAAGCTAGCGTGCAGCGACCTGGAAAATCAGGAATTCCTGATTGAAAGGGCCTGCAAGGCGGCGGAAGCCAACGGCATCCTGGACTAGGGAAAACCGACCACTAGCTTTTTTTTTTTTCTTTTTTTTTTTTTTAACCCAATAAACGTTTTCTGATCTGATCTGATCCATGCTTCAATAAATATCTATCTATCTCTGTTTGCCGCTAACAGTCATTTTTCGAGTTTGGGTTATGATGACAAAATGACGTAAGAACAAGAATGCACGGGACTATCTGCATTGTTTTAACTCGACAACCGTACCCTTGGCGAGTTAAACTCGAAAGAACAAGGCCGCGATGCTCGTCGGATCGACCGCGGCTGGGGTTTGACATGCGATCGGTCACTCGATCAACGTGCACACGAATGCTTTCGTGCTGTTGTATGAACCCATTCGGCGGCAGGACCGGGTCGAAGAGCACAGTGAGCTGGCGTTTAACGTCTCCGATGTAACGCTTGGCGAGATGCATGACTTGGCTTCTATTTGTGCCGGTGTTATGAAGCTTGAAAGTGGTGGTGTTGTTGTGGCTCGTACGGTAGCGTTGCTGAGATTATGAAGACGGTAATAGACCTTTATTCAGCGTTGCCGTGCATTAAGATTCAAAACCTCACCTTGACACAAGGGGAACCATGTTTCCGCGAACACGGAGGCAGCAGCCAACGGTCTGAGAAAGAATTGTGCCGCCGCCACGACCGCCAGCGATCGCCCCAACGGCAAGAAAACAAACGACAAGCTCATTGAGGTTTGTGTAGTGCTGACTACTCATTCATCGGACGACAAAGGGGAATGATGTAAAACGGAACGTAAGTTTGCCAGCGTTTTTGCAAAACGAATTCGTTTCGCTGAAAATTTAATTTGTGGAATTCGTTACCGCCTTGAAAGTTTGACGGGGACCGCATTGTGAACGCTGGCTTCACACAAGTGTTTTCTACAGTGTGTGCTTTGGCTGCATGCATATAAAGACAAAAAAACTGCCTATATGGTGCATAAAATAAAAGAAATTTCGTTTATCTTGATAATGTTGACTATCTATTGAGTGCTGTTGAGAGTAGTGGCGTAGCCAGGAACTTCTAAGGGGGTGAGGATTGAGGGGGGTTGAGGTGGCTGGGATGTTCATGACTTGGGGTGCGGGGGGGATGGTGTCGGAATTTGTGTGTATATTCTAGGGCCCGCCGGATTCGGAGAGGGAAGGATCGAAGCCCCATAACCCCCCCCCCTCGCCCCCCCCCCCCCCCTGGCTTTGCCACATAAGGGGAGCATCCTGCATTCACAGGCTGCTATAAGCATGTGCATAGCCACTGACCTCGTACCACAATGGCAAGATAGTTGCTGACATTCTTCACGTTACGTAACAGTTCTTTCTTTAGTACATATGCTCGCTTTTCCTTCGCACACCTACTCTGCCTCCGCTTGTCGTTTATGCTTGATGGTGATAAGCCAACAGTGCGTATTTGCTCTGCATCGCAGGCAAATTTCAAAAATCCAGCTCACACTACTCTTTAATTTCAATGAGTTACTGTCACTTTTGAAACGACAATCTATTTAATTGCTATAATAACCTTTACATTAAACACACGTGTGTTGAATGTAGGACAATTCTATCTTTATTGTTTTTCTTGGTCATGAAGATGACAACCATCCACAAGACACTGGCTAAATTTCTCGTCTATGGTGGGTAACAATGTTACCATACTCTGTCAGACTAAACTGCTGCTGTCTAGACAAGTAACGATTCATTTTAGGACAGACGTGTTTGTAGTTTATTGCAGGGCATCGAAAAGTGTTCTTATGACTTTCCGATGACTGACTTGCAATTGCAGCAGCTTGGCGTGAAAAGGTAAAATATATAATTGATACAACAAAATGCCATCAGCAACCCATCCAGATTTTATTGCATAATTGACAGTAGCTACAGACCGCAACAAATTGTCAACTGAAGACATAGGTACTAAGCGTGCACTAACTTCGAAGCGGTAGAGACCCTGAAGTTTAAACGTCAACTTACCACCATGTTGTTAATGGCAAAATGGTGTTTGCGGCAAAGTGTTGGAGTCCTTCAGAATGGTGACGGTCTCCTTCAGACCGATGATGACGGTGACGAAGGTTTAGTTAGAGTCTAAGTTTAGTCAACGCACCCGACGACGTCAGTGTGCTTGTCATGGTGGCGACGAAAGCCTTCTTTCGCACATGCCTCAGCTGCCTCGGTCCGGGGTTTTGTCGACCCAACCGTCTCTTCCCAGCCGGTTGACAGCGATACTCACGACGGCCGTCACGGCTCTGATCACCATCCACTGGGCATTAGCTATGTGATCATCGGGGGCAACCGGGCCCTTGTAGTTCTCTGTTGCGAAAAATCTCAGTGCGATTCAATTAGTAGCTGCTGCTCGACGGTCATCATATCTCATCGTCGCCGTCTCTCGTTGTCACACTGCGATCACACGGTGCTTTTCGACAAGCGGTATTGTCGTCAGAAACAGTCGTCGTGCATCGCGAAGGCAACCGGGTGCTCGCGGAAAACCCGTCATTGTACGCGTTGGTCGAGCCATCGTTGAGCAACAAGCATCGCCGCCATTTTCTACGCTCTAGAATCCTGCCCAAAGCTTGTTCCCCTTCGTGCAATGCGGAGGGCAAGCTTGTCTGCTTCTTGCGCAGGGGGTAGCGGTGACGTCAGAACGCCGAGCCCTGATTGGCTGGTCGCGACCCCCTATCTGAGCGTCGTCTGCTCCTTTGCAACGTCGTCTGCTCGCAACGTCGTCTGCGTCTGTCTTACTTTTCCTGCGACTTTCGGAAGGACAGAGGCCATATTCACGAAACGATATTACGCCAAAAATGTGCGTAAGACAAAATTTAAGAACAAATTTGTATTCACGAAATGAAATTTTCGTAAGTTTTGCGCAGGTTTCGACGAAATCCTACGGCAGCTCCGAAGCTGTCTTACGCACTTCTTACGATCAAATCAGCATGGCCGACAGCGTCGCGGTCGCGACGACCCACGGACGTTTATTTTTCTACCTGCGCTTCTGACGCGTCCCGACTTCAAACAGCAAAAAAAAAAAAAAAAAAAATTAAGAAGGGTTTGCAACAGACCACGACGAACAAGAACGCTGGATCCACAAACACCCGGGAAAAGCTCCAACAGCCACGATTCTACCGAACGCGACCAAACGAGCTGGGCAGTTAGGCCTAGCACGCACTCCGCGACTCGGCGACCGTCTGCCCACGACCGGCTGACGTGCTGAAGGAATATGCCCGCGCGACCCTTGTGAACCCTTCCCGCATTATACTTCGATCGCTGACCTCAATTTTAGATCAAGAGGTCAATTTCTTCCTTTTGTTATTTCCTTGCTTCCCGAGGCGACGGTGACTCTCGCCGGTGAAAAAGCGGTGAATCTCCGACAGACGCAGGAAAGGTAAAGCAGCCATCGCTTTGACTAGCAGACGTAAAGCAGACGACGTTAACTGCGCCAACCCGCCGACGCCGTTAAAGAGTGAGGGGTCTCGCCCCACACGAATGGAGGGAAAAAGTATTTGGAAGGGAACTTGCGGACACTAACACGCTCACTCTCGGTTCTAAGCAAACAAACCTCGGCGCCCCGGGACACCTCGCCAGTGAGTCCTTTGACTTCCCTCCTTGATGCGCGTCTGCTAGTTGTTAGACAAAAACAACGTACCGCTCGAGTTATTTTGTCTGCCCCCTCTGAAAGGCGAAGTCGAGTTTGCTCTGAAAGTTGCCGGAATTGTAAGACAGACGCAGACGATGTTGCCAGCAGACGACGTTGCAAAGGAGCAGACGACGCTTAGATAGGGGGTCGCGATCAGCCAGTCTGGGCTCGGCGTTCTGACGTCACCACTACTTCCTTTCTCATGCGCAGAAGACGAAAATGAGCCCACTTGCGAGGCGTATAGAAAGAGAGGTTAAAAGCCCGAGCGCATCACCCCGAACGCAAAGCCGTATATGTAGAGAGTTTGGCCATTCGTTGGGAAGTATAGGAGACAAATGAAGCGGCGCCATTGGCCGAAAGCGGGCTGGGCGTGTTCCAGGGCGTCTTCAGAAATTCGAGTGTGACCAACCAGAAGCCGGAAATAATACCCTGGCGGTGGTCGCGAGAAACAAACCTGATAACTGCATTGGAGTAACTCTCGATGGCTGAAAATATGGTACACGTGATGTTTCAATCACACTCATCTAAAATGATGGTGGAAGAGTGCGACTAGCGGAAAGATCGACATAATCCTTACGCCAAACGCCGAGCGCCGGGAATCTGCCGTCAGAGCGGTCACACTTTGTCCGCGCAAAAAAAGAGTTGAGCGGCGCATTCGTTTCTTACATCTTTCTGCATGATCATGATGAAACAACACGTGTACCCTATTTTCAACCACAAAAAGTTACTACACTTCACTCTTACGCACTTATTAAAACCATATAGGAACAGAGACCTTCGATGATCGATCGGCTCAGAACTGTTTCTCCCTACCACCGCTAGGGGATTCTTTTCGGCCTCTTGTTGGTCGAAAGAGCATGCCAAGCCCTCTTTCCGAGTCTGCCGCACGCCCTGGCTCTGCCCGCGCCTCCCATTGACCAAACTCTCTACATATACGGCTCTGCCCGAACGATCTTGCACGAACGTTGGCTTGCACTGCGCAAGCGCGCCTGCTCGACAGGGACGTTGAAAGCCCGGAGCTCGTTCTTGTAGCTCCTACACCCGCACTACCTCGCACTCATAGTGAAACAGAGAGTAGGGTGTGTCGAGTAATACCGCAGTTAATCTAGTGACGCTACTTCCGCTATGTGCTACGTAGGTCGGACGTGGTCATACGTCACTTTGTCGTTTCGGTCCAAACTCGAAGAGCGACAGTTACGGCAAACGGTTGCTTTCGTGTTTCGCGAACGTTCCCATGGGAACCGCGTGGAATTATCACGCGGACTGTGGCCAATAGGAGCGCGCGGTTCGTAGGGGGGAGGAGTTTTCGAGAAACACGAACGTGACCGTTTGTGACCAGAATAGCACCCCAGATCACGTGTTGGCTTGTTCTAGCTGCGAGTTGAGGGAGTAAACGCTGCCCGTTTTTTT